GACATGCGTGCAGGTGGAGCAGGCAGGGCGAGTCCACGACCCCGGACCCCCGCCCTGGGGCTGGGTTTGCTCCGGGGGGCACAGTCTCTGGGGTGGGGGCCTTTGCGTCCAGAAATGTGAGCAGCCCCAGTCCCGGCTGCACGTGACTTCTGCCGGACATTCCTGCCTCCTGCGACCCCAGGGGAGTCAGTGTGTTGGAGGGGAGCCCGGGGGCTGGCGGGGTGGGCAGGCTCAGAGGGCCCTCGCCCCAGGGCCGGTGTGGAGACCCAGCTGCCCTTCCTGGGCCCCTTTCCTGAGCCCCAGGGGATGTGTTGTGATGTCACCTGCTCCCCTAGGGCCTGGGCTCCTCCTGGGGCCCCTCCTCCCCGGGCAGCGGTACCCCGCCCCTGCCCCCACCTGGAGCGTAGCCACTTGGGCCACTGTTCAGCCTGCCCTGTGCGTGGTGAGTTCTGTGGTACCTCTGAGCCCACCTCCCGTGGCCCTCTGTCTTTGAAGCACCTGACTTGTCTGACTGGCACTGGGTCCTGCAGTGGGACCTGCAGTGGGACCTGCAGTGGGTGGAGGTGGGACCTGCAGTGGGGCCTGCGGTGGGACCTGTGGTGGGACCTGCAGTGGGTGGAGTGGGACCTGCAGTGGGTGGAGTGGGACCTGTAGTGGGTCCTGCAGTGGGACCTGCGGTGGGACCTGCGGTGGGACCTGCAGTGGGTGGAGGTGGATTGCGGTGGGTCGCTGTGGGCTGTGCAGTGGGATTGCACTGGGCGTGGCTGGCAGCTGAAGGGGGAAAGCGCCCTGCTCCTCCCAGAGGTTTCCAGGCCGAGGCTGCTGCTGAGCGGAAGGTGGGGGGGCAGGAGGGGGGACAGGGGGGCTGCTGGAGCTGCCAGAGGGGCAGAGGAGGGGCTTCAAGGTCCCAGGAAGTGCCTTGTCCTCGGAGGTGCTGCCCACTGCCATCCTGACCTGCACATGGTCCTGATCCTCCATGGGGGCCTTTGGGGGACCCACGGGGGAGGTAGTGTCAGGGGGCCTGTGGGCCTGTGGAGCTACGTGGCCGGTGCTGTGGGTCCTGCCGACCAGGTGACGGGAGCAGGTCAGGGGACCGGGAGACGGTGTCCCCACACCCTGGCCCTCTGGCCGCGGTGGGAGCAGGGCTCAGAGGAGACATCTGTTCCCTGGGGGCTGGGGTCCCCTCGCAGCCGTGCTGGGAATGCAGCCAGGCAGCTGGTTAGATTGACCCCCTGCCCCCAGCGGGAGGGCCCTGCAAGCTCAAGTCTGGTCTTGCAAGTGGCTCTTGCCATGACCCTCTCAGACCCTCGTGGCCCCAGGGCTGCCACTGGGCCCCCCCACCCCAGCGCTTCCCCCCTGGGCTGCAGCCAGGCCAGGGTGCAGGTTCAGGGCCCAAACCCAAGCCGGTGGAAACAGACGCGATGGAGACGCTTCTCACAGCCCAGCCGCCCTCCCGCCCTCCCACCCTCGGGGTGTCCAGCTGCGAGAGCTGGCTGCCTGGTTCCCCATCCGCGCCTCCTGCCCCCCGGTGCCTTCATCGTGTGGTCTTGGGGCCTGGACCACCCCCCAGAGGGACAGAGCTCGGCACACCCTCCCCTCCGACTCTGGGTGAAGGCCCCCAGCCCCGGGAGCCCCTTCTCCTGGAGGAGACGCCCTCCACAGAGCTGGGCTCAGGGCCGGCCGGATGCCTTCCCCTCCCCAGGTGGCAGCAGGGCCTGACTGCCAGGCGCCCCTCCCCCTGACCTGGGTGGGCAGAGGGTCCTGTCTGCTCCCTCCGCCCTGCCCCTCCCCACTTCCTCCACCCCCCAGATGGGAAGCTGCTAACTTGTGCTTCTGAGGTGGGTCATCGCCCTAACCAGCAGCCGCCCACATGGCTGAGGTTGGAGGGGGCGGGGGGCTGGGAAGGAGGGGGCCCTTCTGAGAGCAGCACCCCACTCCCGATTCCTGCCCTGCCCTATGGGGCATTCTCCTCCCCCTGGCCCAGTGGCCAGACCACTGCCCCGCAGTCTGGGCGCGCCCCAGTGCCCAGTCCGTGTCCTCCCGCTGGGGTGTGGGGCTGGACGCAGGAGGCCCAGTGCTGGTGGGAATGGGGGCTGAGACCCAAACCCAGGCACCTGGACTGGCGGTTCTCAAAGGCCAGTCTGCATCCGAGCCCCGGAGGCCACGGACGGGGCTGGGGGGTCGGAGTGCTGATCCCGGGAGGACTGCGTGTGTGTGCACGCGTGTGTGCGCGTGTGTGCGTGCATGCGCATTTCTGACCAGTTCCCAGGAGAGGCTGCTGGCGTTGCTGGGCAGCTGTGGGAGGGTGACTCAGCCCCGGGGTGAAGGGCATGGAACCCAGAGAGAGCTTCCCAAGGGTGCTGGGCCCGGGTGAGGCTCAGCCCCCCCAAACCTGGGAAAGACAAGAGCCCCAGCATCTTTCTCCCTGGCGGTCACCCCTCGCCCTCCATATCCTGCTGGTCCTCCCATTGGCCAAACCCACCTGGAGCCAGAGGGGAAGGATGTGAACACGTGTGCATGTGCGTACACACGTGTGCATGTGTGCTCATGTGTGTACTTGTGAGTGCACACGCGTGCGTGAGAGCTTGTGAATACGTATGTGGGGGGGGGACTGGCCTTGGGTCAGGGAGGCTGGACCCGGCGGCCAGCAGACAGCTGTGGGGTGGAGGGTGGCAATGAGGCCAGATGGCTTTCGGGAAGGGGCAGAGCTGCTGACCCCTGTCCTCTGTCCCAGGCCCCACGTGTGTGCTGAGCAGGAGCTGACCCTGGTGGGCCGCCGCCAACCCTGCGTGCGGGCCTTCAGCCGCGCGGTGCCCGTGTGGAAGCCGGGCTGCGGGCGCCAGGCCTGGTGCGTGAGCCACGAGCGCAGGTACGTGGGTCCCGGGTGGGAGCGGGGCTGTGCGCACA